AAACCAACAATTAACAAATTTGTTCCAAACATAAACAAAGATTAATCCAAGCTAAACTAAAACATAAGCAAATATTAAACCAACAATGGAGGGGAAGGTGAAAATGAAAATTGAGAAATGAATTAGGGTTAAGGTTAAATGTAAGTAGGGGAATGAATTAGGTTAATTTTTATGGATTGGGTTGGGTTGGGTTGGGTTGGGTTGAGTTAGGTAAAATTTGGTTAAGTTTAATTTTGATTGAATTGAGTTTGAACTTGAGTTTTGGTTTGTGTTTGGGTTTGGATTTGAGTTTGAATTTGAAAGATGAATTAAATTTAAAATAAAATTAATTAATATTTGTTTTAATTTTTGCGGGGATGGGGATCCCCGTGGGGCCCCACGAGGAGGGGAAAATTCCCTGCGAAATTTCGTGAGGGAAAAATGCTCCCCATCCCTGCCTCGCGGGGATGACTATTCTTCCCCGCCCCATCCCTGTGACGGGGATCCCCACGGGGCCTTGTGGGGATTGGAGAAAATTGCCATCCCTAAATGATACCAATGATGAAACATGGTATGCTAACATCGGTGCTACTTCACACATGATTGGAGATCCTGGTAAGCTTTATAATTTAAATTTTTATAGTGGGTCAGATTATGTTATGGTTGGTAATGGTGAAACTTTACCCATCACACACACTAGTGATTCTAAATTAAATTGCGGAGACACTAAGATTATTTTACAAAATGTTCTTCTTGTACCACAAATGAAAAAAAAAAAAAAAACATTATTTTTATTATTAAGCTGACTAATGATTATCCTTTCAATATTGAATTTTCTTCTTCTAGTTTTATCATAAAGGACAGGAGAACAGAACAAGTGATAGCCAAAGGACATCGCAAGGCTAACTTATATGCTCTAGAAGCTCCACAAATGGCATTTTTCTCAAATCATTTCAAGTGTACTAGTGACAGTGTTTGGCACTAGAGATTAGACCATCCACATTCTAAAGTAATAAAACACTTAGAAAATAATGGGTTGAGTCAAGTAAACAAGTGTGGTAGTATAGACCATATTTGTGAAAGTTGTCAAATTGGGAAGTCTAAGAAACTTCCCTTTTATGCTTCAAAATCTACTTGTACCCAACCATTTGAGAAAATACATTTTGACTTGTGGGGACCAGCTAGCGCCAGTTTTATTTGTTCAAAAATTTCTCTATTATGTTAGCTTTGTGGATTATTTTACCAGATTTACCTGGATATTTCCTTTAAGAAATAAATCTGACTTCTTTGATTGTTACTTGAAGTTTGAAAAACTCATTGAAAGGCAATTTGAGAATAAAATCAAAGCCTTCCAAGCAAATGGAGGTGGTGAATTTGAGAAGAAAGAATTCCTTTACCATCTTCAATCTAATGGTATCATTTTGCAACAATCATGTCCTGGCACCCCAAAACAAAATGGCAAGGTGGAAAAAAGACATAGATTTCTTGGTGAAATGGGTTTAACTATGCTATACAATAGTGGTCTACCCAAGTGTTACTGGGTGGAAAGCTTTTCTACTATTGTTTTTCTCATGAACAGGACCATTTCTAGTGTCCTTGGTATAGATTCTTGGTATTATAGATTATATAATCGATATCTTGACTATACTTCTGTTCATGTATTTGGTTGTAGGTGTTTTCCTTACCTACAAGATTACGCTAACAACAAGTTTGATCCCAAGTCTCAACCATGCATATTTGTTGGCTATAGTGATAGACATAAGGGTTCTCGCTGTTTACATCCATCATCTGGAAGAGTGTATATTTCGAGACATATCGTTTTTTATGAGAAAATTTTTTCCATACACAAATCCAAAGAAGTTGCATCAACCATATGATAACAGGGAGTACTCAACCTTCCTTGAATGGAAAAATCCATCTTTGCAACAAGATACCTCTCCAAATTTGAGTGTTACACACATTCAAAATCAAGCAAATTATGAACCTGCTGCTAATGAACCTTTTTACACTTCACTACCTAGCATATCATCCAATGAGCTAAATTGCCTTGATGTGTAGGTCCTCGGTGATGTAGTATCAAATGATGAATTTGTTGATCAACTAGACAATCATCAACAGGACATGGCCATCAATCATCAATTGGCATAACAAGACTCGCCTATTAACAATGAGCTTCCTCAAGAACTAGCACCAAATCATGAGGTACCACAACAAGACTCAACTATCAATAATGCTCAAGAGTCAATCTTTATTCCAAGTACAACTCCCACTCATGAGACCCCAAATAAAACAACTTCCAATACACACGATATGACCACTCGAGGTAAGTCAGGTATTATAAAACCAAACCCAAAATATGCTTATGTGGCTCAAGTGCAGGATATTCCAAATGAGCCAAAAACTGTAAAATCTGCTCTTAAGTATCTAGGATGGTTAAATGCCATGCAAGAGGAACTAGAAGCACTCCATCCTAACAACACATGGGACCTTGTCCCATATTTTCCGAAGATGCATGTCATAGGATCAAAGTGGGTGTTCAAAACAAAATTGAAGGTAGATGGAACTCTTGAATTGCTCAAGGCACGTCTTGTTGCCAAAGGGTATAATCAAGTTGAAAGTGTTGATTTTTCTGAAACTTTTTCTCCTGTTATTAAACTAACAACTAGTAGAATTGTTTTATCTGTTGCTGAAGTTAAAGGATGGGATATTAGACAATTAGATGTAAAGAATGCATTCTTACATGGTAAACTTCAAGAACTTGTGTATATGACCCAACCTCTAGGTTTTAGTGATCCCAAAAACCCTAACTATATTTGTTGTTTGAAGCGTGCCTTATATGGATTAAAACGGGCACCACGAGCATGGTTTAATGGATTTAGTGAATTTTTATTAACCTTTGGTTTCTTTTGCAGTATAGCTGATCCTTCTCTTTTTTTGTTTGTCATAACACTAAAGGTATTATCGTTCTTCTCTTATATGTTGATGATATAATCTTCACAGGTGATAACTCACATTTTTTTAATGAGTTTATTCAGCAATTGAGCTTAGAATTTGTTATGAAAGACATGGGACAGTTGCATTATTTTTTGGGAATAAAAGTACAAAATAACACTCATGGAGTCTTTCTTGTCAAACAAGATATGCTCAAAAAGTCTTAAAGCATGCTGAAATGGGGGATTGTAAACTACTTTGAACCCCAATGGCTCCAAAAGTGAAAACCGCAGAGAATGATCAACCTTTCCATGATATTACTTTTTTCAGAGTATTGTAGGAGCTTTCCAATATCTAACCTTTACTCATCCGGACATTGCTTATAATGTTAATTATATTTGTCAATTCATGAACCAACCTTCTGTTTATCATTTTCAGCTTGTAAAACGGGTGTTACACTATATAAAAGGTACATTAGACTATGGTATCCAAATTTGCTCTCAATCTAATCTCGATTTGTATGGGTTTTCAGATACAGATTGGGCTGGTTGCCCAGCTACCAAGAGATCTACAATAGCTTTTTACACCTTTATTGGTAGTAATTGCATCTCTTGGAGTGCAAAGAAGCAACAGACAATAGCTCGATCGAGTGAAGAAGCAAAATACCGTGCAATGGCCTCTACAACTGTTGAGCTCACTTGGTTATCTTATATCCTTTGTGACATTGGTTTGCATCTTCCCCAACCTATCACTTTATTCTGTGACAATATGAGTGCTCTTCATATGTCTATCAACCCTATCTTTCATGCTCGCACCAAGCACATCGAAATAGATTACTATTATGTTTATGAACAAGTTGCTTTGGGATTACTTATTACAAGATTCATCTCTTTAGATTAGCAAGTTGTCGACATCTTCACAAAGCCTTTATCCAAGCATCGGTTCCAGTCCTTATGCAGCAAACTTGGTCTGTTGTCATCTCCCTCGACCAATTTGAAAGGGAGTGTTAAAACAAAAAGACAACTAGTGCAAAGTAGAAGAACATTTGTTTCCTTAACAAGAGAGCATCTAGACGCACCAAAGGAGAAGATTAACAAATGACAAAAATTGCGCAACAGCTAGGATGCATCAAAGGAGAAGATTAATAGATGGCAAAATTGTGCAAATTGATTCATGGGGGATGTGTTCAAACACAATGGTACAAAGATTGATTTACCAAAATATTAATCCATGTATTCATGCCTTATTTCTCTCATACTTTCCCTTTCCACTTTGTAATTTGTATAATCTTCCTTATTTCTACAACCTATACATCTATAAATTTTATAGTTTTCTCACAAATAATACATAATCAAATAGTATTATTTTCATAAATTCTCCTCTTTCTCTTTTCTAATGTTGGTAAGTGAGGCAATAACAATAGCATTTGGGAGATTTCCTTCCATAATTAATAAATTTAGAAAAATGGCAAGCAACAATAAGGAAGAAAAAAGAGGATAACAACATCAAAAGAAAGAATCAGCTAGAGATGAAAGAAAAAAGGAAATTAAATTAAAAATGGAAGTGAAAAAGGCTAAAAGAAATAAATGGGGAAGGAAGAAGATGATTTGGGAATTAAAACCCATATTTAAAATTTTAAATTAGCCTTTAATGGCTGAAGATTAATGAAAGATTACATGAAATCCCATGAAAATAGGTGTTCATGAAGCTGTAGTTATCTATATAAACTTACTAATAAATAAGAGCCACATGGACAAAATCCTATGCAGAAGTGACAATATGCAAAAATACCTTGAAGACAAAAAAACAACTAGAGAAGTGAAGATAAATGAAGGAATCACTATACATATGCAGATTGCAAAAGATTTTTTAAGTATTTGGTTCTCATAGGATTTTTTTTATCAAAAGTTGTGTCAAATGCTCTGAATACGAGGGAAAACTTGTGTTGTACTCTTTTTCCTTAAGCTAGATTTTTATCTCACAAGGTTGTTACTAGTTAAGGTTTTTAATGAGACAATCATGGTTGAAAACAAAACCTCTGCCATGAAGGTTTAGAATCTCTTAAACACAAAGACATAAACTTGTAATCAACAGAAGTTTTAAACTCCTTCATCACTTATGAACGTCACTACTTGTGAAAGTAAGGGCTTTACAAAAAATTTTGCTCAAAAAACCTACATAGAACTTAGAACCAAGTACAATAGAACTTTATGAGAGAAAGCTACCTAATATAAAACCTATGTAGAAATAAAATAAAGTAAGTTTTCACTACACTCAAACTTCTTCATTGGGGGCAATGTTATACCCTAAAATTAAGTCATATGAGAATCAAGACACATGGAGACATCTTAAAAGGGTTCTATCAAGATTAGATACGATCAATCCCACTAAAACAAGAATACCCAACACCAACCTAAGTAGAATTGTAATTCTAGGGTGATTCTATGTAATATCCTAGAAATACCCCAATGTTAGACTTAGGAAAGGGATTATTTTTTCTTCGTTCTCTCTCTATTGTAAGCTCTTTACATTCTTGATCAATAAAGTACTTAGTTCCACACCATCTTTTCTATGGCAAAAACCTACTTTTAGCCCCTCACCTTACCAAGTTTGAAGGTTTTAGTCCCTCACCTTATACTATAACACTTTTAACCCCTCACCTTACTAGATTTGTAGGTTTTAGCCCCTCACCTATTAAAATCAAAGAAAATAGCATTTACTTTATATTGATTGTTAACTCTGTTAGTTGAAAGTAAGTTTTTGTCAACTAACAGTTAGCTGAAAGTAAGTTTTGGTCAACTAACAGTCAACTAATAGCCACTTAACATAATAAACAAAATATTATAAAGTTGGTTCTGTTAACTCTTTTAGTTAAAAGAAAGTTTTTGTCAACTAATAGTCAGCTAACAGAACTAACAAAATGTTATAAAGTGAGAGCTATTTTCTTCAATTTTATTAGGTGAGGGGTTAAAAGTGTCATAGTATAAGTTGATAGGCTAAAACTTACAAGTCTAGTAAGGTGAGGGGCTAAAAGTGTCATAGTATAAGGTGAGGGGCTAAAACCTTCAAACTTGGTAAGGTGAGGGGCTAAAACGTTCAAAATTGGTAAGATGAGGGAAGTAGGCTTTTGCCCTTTTCTATTGTCACAATTTCAATAGCAATAATAACCACACCCCTAAATTTTGATTTCAAATTTTAAAATAATCAAGAAGGGAGTTGGCAAGACAAACAATCTCTAGAGGCATATCATAATATATGCAATAACAAGATATTAAATGTAAAACTTATGATATGTTCCAAAAATTTATCAAATGTAGATATATATATAAGGCATTGGAAATTTTGGGATTTTAATATCTATAATTGAAATTTTGGTTTAAATGAATATAAAAAAATTTTTAAGGGGACCACTTGCTTCACTCAAGGTCTTGGAGTCTCAAAACCCATGCTTGCACCGGAGAATTGAACTAAGCGAAAAAATGTGTATGTATTATAAATTGAGGGACTAAATATATATATATTTGTATAGATTTAACAGATTAATTGATAAAAAGATTAAAAAAAGTGCATTGAAAAAAGTTGTGCAAATCTCTAAAGTTGAGAGACCAAAAATTGGCATTTAACTTAGGTTTTATTGACTTTTTTGTTTGATGAAACCTGTGATTAGCATATACCTACTCATTTGATACTATATGGTTGTTATTAAACAAATGTTGCTAATAAATCATTATCATGATAATTATGTAATATTACAAACATTAATCAAAGATCATTGGGTATTTTGTAGTAGAAAGAGTGCTATATGATTTGAATTGCACAACATTAATTATTAGATAAAGAGTGAGAACCTTAATATTAGAGGTCATTTCCTCATTTAATTTCTCTTATTTTACAATTTGATACAAAACAAAGGACTTCTGTGGTAAAAAAAAAGGATAAAAATAAAGTAGGAAAACAGTGAAAGATGGATGGCACAAAAAAAGAAAAAGGGAAAAAAGTGATAAAGAAATAACAAACTCCAGTCCATTTTTGTGGACAGTTTGGATTAAGTACTTGGCCCAACGACAACAGACGGGACTAAAAGTCCATAGCGCACTCTGTTTTTATTCAGTATTTGGACCGTTTGGAGTCAGTACTTGGACAGTGGGTCGGAATAGAAAATAATTATTCTCAAAAATTGTTTGGAAGGTTTCAATTTTTGTTAATGAAAATGCGAAATATTTATTCTCAAAAATTGTTTGATAGGTTTCAATTTCTCTGTAATAAAAATTCTTTCTACTGTTTTCAAAATTTATAAAATGGTGGAGATAAAACAAGCCAAGCTAAACTATAAAAAATAATAAACCACATTTGCTGGCAATTATATTTTACTTTTGTGTGTGTGTGTGTGTTAAGGGGAGGGGAATGGGTTTTAGTGAGGCTGGAACATGCCTCTACCATGTGCTTCCACAAGGGATTCAAGTGGCAAGCCACTTGACTTGACCCAGATGCTGAGAAGTGAGAACACACATTTGCTATTTTCAAGTGTTCTACCATATTTAGAGGAAACTGAATTTCAATTCAAACTCACAAAAAATTGCTACTACTCTTCTTTTTGTAATATGCTCAACACCTTCTCTCCCAATCAAACACAAGGAACTTGTCTGGAGCAACTGATATTTGAGTAAAATATTGCACTCAAGTTATTGACCCTAAAGATGGGAAAATGATTGAAGAAACAAAAACTACTGTCTACATTTTACCACTTGTTTTGAGACTTGAAATGGGGGATCAGCATTTCCGTGCTCATAGTTTTTTTCTCACCATTGATTTCACAACCCTCTTCCTGTTACTTTTGCTGGCTGAATGATAACTTGTTGACATTATTTGTGCATAAAACATATTAATTGTTTGTGATCCACGGCAATTTCTGCGTGCAATCAACTTGGGATATAGTGGATTTATGGTGGTTCAAGATGGATGCACCATCTTTCAATACTCTGTGCTGAAGGATAATTGTACTAAAACAACCTAGAAACAGGTCTCTGCATTTTACTTTTGAAGTTGGAAGTGGCTTTGAGATTATGTTGTGTAAGCTGTGTTTAAAAAAAAGAAAATCGCGGCTTCTTTTTTTTTTTTCTCTTTTTCTCTTTGAAGTGTTTTCGTTTCTAACTAATTTTATAAGTTTTAAAAATTAAATGTATAGAGTAATGTTAAAAAAAATTTGAAAATATTTTTCGTTACTTATTAAATAATAAAAAATTATTTTTTTGAAATTTTTTTTTATGGATTCCAAACAATAAAAAGTAATCTCTAAAAAGGAAAATATTTTTCTTTTTTCTTTTTCGCAAGTCAAATGGTCCTAAAAGTCATTTGTTATCTTGGGAAGTGGATGGCTAAAATGTTAAAATAGGCATCTAGTCCTTTGGTTGATGTCAATGGCTTTTGTGGTGGGGTTTAAGTGAGGAATTTAGACCATGAGATAATCTTTGTTTAATTCCATTATTGTTAGTCATCTCTTGGTGGGACTTAATTGCCTATTTTATTCATTTATAATTATTAAAAA